ATGCTATGGCTAATATCATGGTAAATGGGGAAAAACTGAACGCATTTCCTCTAAAATCAAGAATGAGGCAGGATGTCCACTCTTTCACTCCTTTTCAACATGGTTTGGAATTCCTAATCAGAGAAATAAGACATGAGAAAGAAATAAAAAGGATTCAAATAGGGAAGGAAGATCTCAAGTTACCTCTGTTTGCAGGTGATATGACCTTATACCTGAAAGTCCATAAAAACTCTACCAAAAACCTCTTAGAACTCATAAACATGTTCAGCAAAGTAACAGGATACAAAATGAATACACAAAATCAGTAGAATTTGTATGTACAATGAACATTCTGAGAAAGAAGCCAGGAAAATAATACCGTTCACAATAGCTTCAAAAATTAAAATTCTAGGAATAAATTTAATGAAGGTGATGAAAGACCTATACAATAAAAATTTTTTAAATCACTAAAGAAAGAAATCAATGAAGACATTAGAAAATGGGAGGACATCTTGTACTCATGGACTGGCATAATCAGTATTGTGAAAATGACCATACTGCCAAAAGCAATCTATATGTTCAATCAATCTCAATCAAAATTCCAAAGACAGTCTTTTTTTGATAGTTCTGGGATTAAAACTCAGGGCCTCATGCTTACTAGGCAAGCACTATCATTTGAGCCATTCTCCCCAGCCTGGTTTTTTGTGTTGAGTATTTTTGAGATAGACTCTCACCAACAATTTTTCTGGACAAGCCTCGAACTGTGAGCATCCTGATCTCTGCTTCCTGAGTAGCTAGGGTTACAGGTGTGAGCCACTGGCTCCTGGCTTCTAAAGACATTCTTCACCAAGATAGAAACACCAATACTTCTATTATAGAAGTATAGAATACCTCAAATAGCCAAGGCTATAAGCAAAAAGAGCGACGCTAGAGGTATCACAATACTTGACTTCAAACTATATTACAGTCATACTAATAAATAACAAGCATGGTACTGGCACAAAAACAGACATGAAAATTAATGGAATTAGAATAGAAGACAAACACACACAGCTACAGTCATTTGATTTTTAACAAAGTGACCCAAAATATGCATTAGAGAAAAGAAAGCCTCTTCAACAAATAGTGCTGGGAAAACCAGATATCTACCTGCGAAACACCGAAACAAGGTCCCAGTCTCTCACTTAGTACTAGCATCAATTCAAAGTAGATCAAAGATCTTAATGGAACATCTGAAACTATGAAATTCCTCTAGGAAAAAATAGCAAAAACACTGGATCACATAGGCATGGCAATAACTTTATGACTAGAACTCCAATAGCTCAGCAGTTAAGAGGAAAGGTTGACAAATGGACTTCATAAAATCAAAAAGTTTCTGCACAGCAAAGGAAGCTGTCACTAAACTGAAGAGAAAGCATAGAGAATGGCAGAAAATCTTTGCTAGCTATACATCTGATAAGGGATTAATAACCAGAATATACAGGAAGCACAAAAACTAACACTGCAAAGAATCAACATGGGAAATGAACTGAAGACAATTCTCAAAATAATAAGTACAAATGTAAAAGGGGTTATGTTTGGTGGGGGGAACCATGAAGAGGGGGAGGAGGAAAGGAGAGGATGATGCAGGATGAATACATTATGTATCTGTATGAAAATAGTTTAGTACAATTCACTGAAAACTATTAAAAAAGGATGGAAGGAGGGAGATGGGTTAAGAAATAGCAATATAGATGGGCTGAATTTCAAAGCACATTATATGCACGTATATAAATATCATAAGGAAGCTATTTTGTACATTTAATTTATGCTAATAGAAATTAAATAAAACCCCAGCAAATCTAATTGAGCCAACGCTGCAAAAAAATTGAAGCTTCCTTGTGGTCTTGGAAGACATTGTAGGCATGAGGTCCTGTGAGACTGTACTGACTCATTTTTCTCCAACATTTTCCTAAGAAACACAGATTTAGCAGTCCTTCCCTATTAATATTCAAAACATGATCTGTGGTTCAACATATCAGCAAGATATGAGAGATGGTTAGAAATTTGAGTGTCTGCCCATCCCATTCAGATATGTTCAATCATAATCTGTATTTTTGTAGCTTCCCAAGATGATGTGTACACACAAAACAGCACACAGTGAGAAACACTGGTCTACACTTCCTAACAATTGTAAAGATTAGTCCTGCAAGTTGGTGATAGCAGATTCCACTGTACATGCCTAATACAGTGTGGGGTCACTTTGTTGGCTCAGAGGCTTACTTCTTCTTATAGAGTCCTCTTACTATCATTTTTGGTAGTTAAAAGTCCCTAATAGCCATCCTCTTGGAGAAGATAGGAGAATGAATACTCTCTACATGGCTACATTGCAAGCAGAAGCACTGTCATGGTACACCATAGCTACAGAGTATTAGCAGTGTTGGATACTTCTTTAGAAAGACCCGTAACATCTATTCTGTATGTTATAGAGAGCACTATGCATCATCAACATTTTTATATTAGGTACTAAATATCTCCTCTAAAAAAATGCCTGCACTTCTTCTGTGGTCATTATGAATGACATGAAATTAATTATTCACTCCAGAAGAAAATTTTGCAAGGATTGAGTGTACACAGTAATATAAGTCACTAATTGACCATATGGTGTATAATAGAGTTATACTTAAGTTTGACTGATACCAGTAATCTTTCATCAATCTTCAGGTGGTAGCAAATACCACCTGGAAGACTGTAATAATTTTGAATAAAAAAATTGAAATAATAATTTCTTTGTCTTGATAGAGAGCTTTATTTACATAAAATTATGCAAGGACTATATTGTCATCCGATTTGGTTTGTGAGGCACCAGTATGAAATTACTCCATCATTCTTCTCTTCCGTTGTTGGAACTCAAGTTTTCATGCTTGCAAAGCAAGTGTTCTACCATTTGAGCCACACCTCTAGTCCATTTTGCTCTGGTTATTTGGGCGATGGGTGTTGTTGAGTATTTGCCCAGGCTGGCCTTGAACCACAATCCTCTTGATCTGAGTCTCCCAAATAGCTAGAATGACAGATAAAAGCCACTGGTTCCCAACACCATTGTTGTCTGCCAGTTCCCTGCTCTTTGCCATGGTACTCTGGCACTGTCTCTCAGATCCTTGCAGTCACAGTTGTTGTTAACACATCCATCTTTTTCATACTTCAGTTTAAAGTCAGCCTGCTCCGTTTTAAATTTTAGCAAAGGTAGGTATCTTTCTGTGTGCTAGGGAGAGAGAGTGTGACTTTTATCGGAGCTCTGAATCTTAACTGAACTAAATCTCCATGATCAATGAGAGCAGCCTTTATTCTCAACTTCTTCATGCTTGTGTCCAACGAAAAGTTTGTGACCCTGCAGTCAGCAGTTATGTTTCTGAATAACCAAATCTCATCATGACTTCTGGTCCACCAGTCTTTATGGTGCACAGAGTAGCTCATTAAGCTGTAAAGAACTCCTCCTTCACTTTACAATCCTATATTGGAATAAATAGCTCTGTTGTTTATTTGATAATACTGATATACTAGTGGACATTGTTGTGGTTAAGGACAGAAGTCTTGGGACCCAGTCTGTCTAGTTAACTATCTAGTATGCAATATTTTCTGGCATGCACATGTGTAAAAGTAACTGATAAGAGCAACTTATCATAACTTTGTTATGATAACTCAATAAAAACGGACCATGAAAAGTGTTACAAATATGTAGTATAATATGTAGTATATGTCACTTGTTAAGTGATTAAGCAAAATGTTATACTTTATCATAAAAACCTACTTTGTTGTTGAGTTCAGAAATCCCTGCCTGAGTGTCTCCATTTTTACATCATAATTAAGAGTTTGGTTGACCACTTGTTAACTCCCAAAATAATGACACACACTCATTCTTTTGAACAAGTCTGATATTTGCTCTGACATGGCATTTAGAAAGAGTCCGGATGTAAGTGGCTATCCTCATCTCAGAGCAAGTTCAAAACAGATTTTTAAGGTAACACCTTGAAATACAACGTAACATGTATGGGAACTCATCCTAATCATTTGGTGTCAAGTAGACAGAATCAACAGGAATCAATCCACCACCATGGCTGGATAATCAGCTAGGTAGTGACATGGTATATTTCCTATTTCAGTGTAAGACATTCTAAGGAGGGATATAATATACATTTAGACTAAGAGAAGGAGAAGTGTTCATGGGAAGATGCTGGAGAATCATATTTAGGATAATATCTATATATGTATATGTGTATATATATATTTCACAACTCAGCATTCTAAGTTTTCTGAAGAATCATAGAACAACCTAAATAGTTCTCTCTGACAGTCATTTTCAGGCTATCCAAAGGGAGAATGATGAGTTTTGCACATATGCCAGATACCAAGTAACCAGTTGACTCCTGAATTTGTAAACAAATTTTCACTGCTCCCTCCATGTCATAGGTTTTTATCTTTTCTTCTATCCTTTCTCCTTTACAACTTGTAACTGTGTTCTTTCACTCAATCTGCAGGTAAACTCCCTAATATGAGTCAACGATTTTCATGTAAAATTTATTAATTCATGCACATGAGAATCTAACACCTCTTGAGTAACTCTTACATTGAGCAAAGATGATTTTGGAAGAATGGACAAGTGTGTTTTCGGTTTTTGGGGATCACTGCCTTTGGCTGCAGCCTTTTTATGTCTTTACTTTGAAATCTTAAAACATACGACATTAGTCAGTTGATATAATTTGGTTAAGGAGATGAATGGCATGTTTACAACTGTTGGGATACATAAAATGGAATAAACATATTTAATTTCACAGATAGTTAACTCAAAGAACAATAAAATATCCTATTTGATCAAACCTCATAGGGGGCAGTGAATGCCACATATAAAAAATCATCCCTGCATATGAATAGGGAGGCATGCTCATTTGTCACTAAAGCACAAATAAGAAAGACTGAACTTTACTGAATTTTGGAGTAATTGGACACAAAGATTCCAGGAGACTACTGAGTCTGTTTGTTAAGCGTCACTCCAACTGAGAATGAATTTCGATGTACAGCGCCCTCCTCAGGGCACCCTTGACCTCTGCATTCCTCAGGCTATAGATCAGGGGGTTCAGAGTAGGATTGAAAAAACTGTAAAACAGGAAAAGAATCTTCTGCTGCTCCTCAGGATGGTGGGATTTGGGGGCCATGTACATGACAATGGCACTGCCAAAGAAGAGCCCCACCACACTGAGGTGGGAGGAGCAGGTAGAAAAGGCCTTTCTGCGGCCCTCTCCTGACTGGATTCTAAGGATGGCCACCAGGATGAGTGAGTAGGAGACCAGAACCAAGAAGAGTGGCCCCACTAAGACAAACACAGAAGCTATAAAGATGACAAAAAGGTTTAGCCTGGTATCACCACAGGTCAGCTTGAGGACTGACAGGATTTCACAGAAGAAGTGGTTAATTTCATGAGGTCCACAGAAGGGCAGCTTCAGGATGAGGCTCATATGGACCAGGGCCAGGAGAGAGCCACAAGTCCAAGAAGAGATCAGTAGGATGATGCAGACACTGCAGCCCATTATGGCAGAATAGCGGAGAGGGTGGCAGATGGCCACAAACCGATCATAGGACATCACCACCAGGAGGAGACATTCTGTGTGTGCAAAAGCCAAAAAGAGAAAAGTCTGTGTCATGCAGCCAGCAAAGGAAATGGGCTTGGCTGGGTCCAGGAGGTTCACCAGCATCTGGGGCACCGTGTTGCAGGCATAGGCAATGTCAACGATGGCCAAGTGGAAAAGGAAGAAGTACATGGGGGTGTGCAGTCTGGGTTCCAGCCAGATGAGCCCCAGAATGACCCCGTTGCCCAACAGGGTGAAGGCATAAAAGAGAGAGAAAAGTCCAAAAAGGACTATACGTATCCTTGGGCCAAGATCAAACCCCAGTAGGATGAACTCTGTGACCATTGTCTGATTTTCCTGCATTTCACTATTAAAGAGAGAATCACATTTTTTATTTGACAAAATTCTTTAAAACACGTCTTATTTATTATAACATTTATTTTCAGTGTGTGGAATATCATTAATATTATTATTTAAGATCTTATTCAATTAAATTGATCAATAAATAGATGAAGTATTACTTTCTACACATTTAAATTAAGTATGTTCCCACAACCTAATTGTTTATTCTGGCAGCCAGTTTTCAGAACAGAAATATGATAAAACAATCAAAATGAATGTAATTAATTACTAACAATCTTACACTTATAAAATAACCATGACACATAGGTTGTCTCAGAGTTTTGTGTGCCAGTCTGTAAGACAATAACTGCATAATGGAAAGAGAAGGGCTTCTAAAATAAGAATAGTACTACAAAGGTAATTTTTGCTTGTTTTGGTAGAAGTCATGATTGAGGAACTATCAGTATTTAAATATAATTAGCGTCTAGAGGGTGCTTATACTATTCCCAAAGCAAATCATGAAACAGCAGCTTTTTATTACTAAGACTGTTTTGATTGAGACATAGTAGTCACGGTCACTTATGGAGTACAAAGTGATGTTTAGAAACATATAGACAATTTAGAATGTTTTTAGGGAGGAAGAGAGAGGCAGTCTATATATATCTCTCTATATACATATATGTGTGTGTATAAACATATGTGTATATATAATGGTATGTATATTATTGTATGTATCTCTATATTTGTCAGAAACATACATACATGTGTATTACACTCACATATTACATATTTGTAGATAGTATCCGCATGTATATCTTTGTCTTTAAAAATGAAACCAAATCAATATGGATATCTTCACAACTACTCAACTGATGGATTCATGGAATTATTAATTCACCACAGCAATTTTTAACAGCATCCCATAGAAATTAGGGTAATCTGTGTTTCCTGAATGTCCTACTGTTACAAACCTAGACAGTGATAAAAATGTGTGTGTATTCACAAAGCTGTCAAGGATTTGGAGGGTGGGTATGATAAGTGACTGTGAAGAGACTTGCAGGAATAATTTCCCATGCATCATCTATATAGAACTCCCCTTGCAGATTTCCATGACCAGACATAGTAACAGTGAAAATAAGGAAAAAAATGAAGGATTTTGTTGCTCATCTAACCCTTCATATGCATGCCACAAAATATTGTAACATACAATACCTGAAATTCAAAACACAATAATTTGCTATTTAAACTTAAAGCAGCAGCTGCTCTCAGTAATTAGGATTGCCACACCCTTTATAAGTAAGTGGTAGAAAAAAAATCATTGACATATTGATAATTCAGTTATATTTAAAAATACCTGTGTCAACAAATTAGTGATAAAGTCCTTAATCCATGTGTTGATGGTGTGATTAATTGATGACTTTGTTTTTTGTTGTAGATCAGAACTTGCTCAATAAACCATGGTGAAGTTCAACATGATTGCTAGTACAAACATTTGTCATTGAGGCTTTGCTCTTATTTGCACAATTAGTGTGAGGAAAGGCAGTGGTTTTAGCCAGTGACTAATTTAACTGTCATCACTACCAATGGTAATATCAAAGAGTGTTTCCCGAGGAACTTATTATAGGAGAAAGGATTGTATTCTGAGAAATACACTCATAAAGCCCACATGAAACTGAAGAAAATAACAATCTAGAGCTGGAAGGAAGACAGTATCAGGAAACATGAGATTGGAAAGTTTAGAGGGGAGGCTTCAAAATCCAATCCTTTTGTTTTGATACAATTTTCAGAGGCAGAACAGAATCTGGAGAAAGAGTAGAAAAGGGGAGGTGGCCAAAATGGAGTGTACACACAAGGTCAGGTTGGTATCACTTTGCAGGGAATGTATAGTGACCTTTAGGAGAAGGGAGAAGGGAACCACATGGCACAAGTACCCTAACTACCAGGTAGATGGATGCTTACCATCCATTTGGATATATTGGGTGATTGATAATAAATAACCTTACTGAGTAAGATCTCTGATAGGTTCTTCTGACACTGATTTTATGGTCTCCAACCAATAGCAGATGACTTGTTTTCTTCAGCTCGTATTTGTACCAAGAAGGAATGTATCAACGAGCAAAGTTCTTTGCTCATTTTACAGTTATATCTTGAATTTTAAGTAAATGAATATTAAGATTTCCTGGCTTATACACTGTCCAATTTTACTTTTGGATAACTTGATGCAGTTCCTGAACAAAATTTCCCAAGCTGAAATAAAAAGTAGGGACAAGACCCTGGACCAATATAGCCTCTTTTATGTAAGAACTAGGGAAATAAACAGGTTCTTTTCTACAACAACAGATGCTATGGTCATTTTCTTATAAGCATTATTGATAAATGATAAGATTAGATTTTGATCTTGTATTTCATAAGACAAGTTTCAAAGTTTGATGAGCTAGCAGGTTCTTTTCTATATTAATGCAATAAGTAAATCAGAATTCCTAAAATTATTCACAGTAATTAAGGCATAGCTCAGATCAATTATAGGACTATTTACCTGTAAGTAACAGGGAAGAAGTGCAAACCAATTTTCTTGCATATCTAGTTATAAGTGGAGACTTTCCATGTTTTATTGTAGGTTAAGGATTGGTAATGCAAGTGATTTATCTAGGTGTAGTTTTTATGTTGGACCAAAAAGAAGAATCAAGGATCACTTTCATGGGATTATAGTCTATTTAATAATCTGTTAAGGATTAATAATAATTTGGTAATATTTTGAGTGTTTCCTGTGTGCAGGGCACTGTAGGAGAACAAAGCACAGCAGGTTGATGGTCCTGTGATTTGCAGGTGGCTTTACTAGGAAGAGATCAATAAAAAGCTAGACTTTAAACACAAAAATCCTCTAAAAAGAAAACTTCAAGAATTAATGGCTGTCACGTTCTTCTCCTACTTTGCTATATTGCCACCTGACACTCAGGCTCAGTTCTCACTTCAAAGTCTCAACCTCTAGGCGCAGAAAATCTAACATGCACACATTGAAGGTACCTGACATTGTCTTTAACATTGTGTTCCAATGAAAACTAGTGAAAGACATTGATTTAGACTCCATTTGACTTTATATTTCATTGAAATAAACATATTTTTATAAATTTGGTATGTATTTTTGCTGTGGTGACAAAATTTAATTCATAATTCATAAAATAAGTAAAATTTTCCTAAATTACATCGTAACACCATAATATCTCTTCTATAATATGCTGTACATAAGAAGATTATTCTAATCTAAATTCATTAAATTCAGAAAGTCTTTAATTTTTTAAAGTGTAATCATTCACAAATAAATCTCACTTGTATATTTCTTCATCAATGAAAGAAAACTCACCAAATCCTAAACACTTGTACATAATTTGTCCCTCAAATGTGCATCTGCTTTCCCTAGAACTATGCACATAAAATGTGAGTGGTGAGCATAGATGTTTATGATTAATAGAATTTATTTTTCTTCCTGGTAATGAAATAAGGAATGGCAGTCAAAAAGTGATAGCTAGCCTAAAAGCAACAGTGACAATCTTTCTGGGAGGAATTTGGTGGTAAAATAAAATTAGGTAACATTGTTGGTTCTCACATTTGGACTCCAGGATCTCAGTAGGATAGGTGCCTGGAGGCTGGGACAGAGTTGCTGTTTCCTCCGAGCTTCTGTGAGCACTGCAGAGCCCTTGCTCTGTTGCTGACTAAAATGCAGCAGAATCCTCAGGAAAGGTTTTATTCTCTGAGGGCTCAACCTAGCTGGCAGGTCTTGAGGGCTTAGCGGTGCAGCTGGGTACTGAGAGTTCATGCATGCTTACCTCTACAGGGAGGAAGAGACCAAATGATTACTATTTTCTTTTTCTATTCTCAAACCCAGTAAGGTACACAATTAGGAAACAGAGATAGCCAGAGATCACACCTCTGAGAAAATAGCTGTCATTATAGTTACCAAATACTTTGCATTGTTTGAATATCATCAATTCTAACATTGCTGCTGTCCCCAGTGTCAGATGGTTCTGGTGAGCCTTTCAGGAAGCAAGACTAGTGAATCAGCTTCTGGCATCTTCTCCCTGGTGTAATGGGGCCCTCTCATGCTGCATCAAAAGTAGGAAGAAAGAACCTTTAAGTTTATCTGATTGGAGATATAGTGAGAGCTGATTAAGGCGGCCTATGTAGATTGGGGAGTCCTAGGCGAGGCCACATTGTCCCTGTGGGCTTATTAGGACTGCAAGGAGCCAAGGTCTTCCAGATCACAAATCCCTGATGTTGGCTACCTGTTGGATACATTCTCTGATCTCTATTCTGAAAGGGACAGGTCCTGGATTCAGAGACAGTGCCTTTCTAGGAATACAGAATCCTTCCCAAGACAGGTTCCCTTTGATGCTTCTGCCTCTCCCAAGAGGATGAAGGTACTTGTTGCCAAAGATCTAGGGAAAGATCTCAGTTCTGAGGGTCTTTGAGATTGTATTATGGGTCTTTTCACTTTTCTCCAACTCTTTCCTAAAAATCACGATTTAACAGTGCTTCCCTCTAGCATAAATATTCAAAATATGGTCCTTGGATTGGAAAATCACCAAGATACAGAGTTGATTAGAAATTTACATACTTGCCCATCTCATTCAGATCTTCCCAATCAGAACCTATATTTTTGCAACTTTTCCAGATGATTCTGCACAAAACATATCATCCAGTGAGAATCACTGTCTGTATTCTGTAGGAAAGAGTGCAGTCCTACAGCTCAGTGATGGTAGTGCTCATTCCACATGCCAAGGACACTGTAGGGCCACTTTCATTTGGCTCTGGAACTGATTTCCCCACAGAGTTAGATTCCTATCATTATTAGTCATGGAAGCCCTTAATATTGACCCTGTTCAGGAGAAAGGAGAACTTATACCTTTACATGGAGACTATGCTAGCAGAAGCACTGTATGGCACATGCCTTTTGAAAAACTGACACTCTTCTCTCCATGTGAAAGAAAGTAATATACTTCATTATCAGTTTTTAAAAATATTTC